TCCATATAATCCTGTACATCACTGAACCCCAGAAGAGCTCAAGCTTCAGAGAAACTGCAATGTGAGCATAGCAATAGCCAGAAAACCAACAGATCAGTTGGAAAACAGCATAGCAAATACTCAGCTGTGAAAGCAGCTAGCAACAGAAGTGGCTAGTGGGGGCTGCCACTTAAAATAAATTGAATTTTCCAATATATTAATTTTTCTATTATCTATAATCCTAGGGGTAGGGACTGGGATACCGCGGCAAAATGGAAAACTCAGTACTGGGGAGATGCTTGAATCACAAGGCATAGTGATTCAACAAGCCCAGTAAAAAGGCTATGCTACACATGAAAATCAACTGCATTTATTTTTTACGTGACAGATGAGTTTGCTTAATGCGTAGGGAACATTTTAAGAAATTGAGAGAGGAGCTTTGAGGAAAACTGGCCTGTTTGGAAAACTTGTGTCTCTTGGCTGGAAGTCCACTTCTAAATTCTGAGGACACAACATGATGCCACACTGCAGACTCCCCTGGGACTGGGACTCACCTGAAAAATCATCAGAAAAATCAAGACAAGGTCTTTCAGCACTGTACACAAGAAAAATTTCTTAGCTGTCCTTCAGAAGCCAGTATTCATAACTGAAACTCTTCATGCCATTTAAGTAAGAAAATATATTTATTATATACTTTCTGTAGTTACATGCAAGGCATTCATTGTCATTACCTTATGCCCATCTCCTGTACTAAAGTAGTACAACGACAAGGTTTTCTTCCCGCCTTCTATCACTAGGTGGCGACGTGAGAAGGAAGAAACGCGATGAAGACCAGAGACAGAGCAGCACCTCTAAATCAGCTTCCACCAGTGTGGAGGAAACGTTAAATCCTGGGCAAATTCTGCTCCGTTTATGTATTTGAAAATTCAGGTACGGACTTTAAATTTAAGGCAATTAAACGAAATGCCAGCCCAGGACTATGAATCCCTTAATGCAATATAATCCTTGAATTATAACCATTCTAATCCTTGCAATATAAATATTTTGGTGAGAGTTCAACCCATCTACATAAACACCTGTCTACACCTCTTCAGCATGCAAAATCCATAGCAGTGCCATGTAAATAAGCTGGAAAAGAATTGTCTTTCATTTCCATTTACAGGATCTTGTTAAAACAGTACAAAAATGTCAGCAGAATGAGTTCCAAGATAGCAGTTTTCTACCACAGACCAAGCAAAGCAGAGCAAATTTAAAATATGAATCTTGTTATTAAAATGCATCTGTAAGAGTATGAGCTCTGAACAGAATCCAGCATCCTATTCAATAGACATTTTAATCATAAAAACAACAGAAGCTCATTACTATAGATGTTAATAGCTTCCTGAATATACTCATCCAGAAAATGTCTTGTTCGTTGAGCAGTGAAAGCAGTGCAACTTATGTCCTTATTGTACCCTTCATCTCCCAAACTCCCCCGCTGCAATATTCCCACGTTCGCTTGTGACAAAGACAATGTTCAGGCCACCTCCCCATCCCCTGACCTCCATTTTTTGGGTTCCCCACACGAGGGCCAGCCCCAGCTGAGAGCAGCACGTGTCCTCAGCGATTTGGTGCATGCTGCAAAGTTGCTGTTACCAGAAAAAGAGTCCCATGCTGAGCTGGCAGGTCTCTGCTCAAGGACCGGCACTAGTAGAACCTTTCTTTGTTACCCAGCCTCGGATTTTCCACATGGATATAGCACAAGTAGCAGAGAACCAGAGCCCTTGGCGTGCTCCTGCTTCTGGCTGAGAGGTACAATGAGGAGCTGCAGGCACTGTAGCCAAAAAGAGATTTATAGATACCAAAGAAAGCGTTGTTTGCTTCTAAGAGGCCCACAGAGGGCAGGTGGGCTAGCAGAGGCTTTCCCAAGCACAGACATTGCAGGGATTCCTGCTCCGGCTGGGCCTCAGCCTGGCACCCCCAAAACATCCTCAGTTACAGCTGCTACAACCTGCTTTCATGTCCTACATCATTTAGGGGTTGCACACAATAAAATTAGCAGGTTTGTTTGCAAGGCAGCAGAGAGGAAGAGGGCTGGTGACTGTGAGGAAGCTGCTTTGGCCTGGTAAGCCTCAGGCCAGGCCGCTCCCCAGCCACCAGCCATTGGCAGTGGTCACTGACAGCCCCTTTGGAGAGGTGCTATACCTCAGAAACCCACACAAATTTCCCTCAGGAATGCATCTACGGCAAGCAAAAATGCGATGACAACTAAACCACCACGCTCTTAACGCTGCTTGAGTCCCGCCGGATGAGGTGCAAGAAGGGAGGAAAGCGAGGAGTGCTGGGCCGAGGGCAGGACTCGAACCCGCGACCTCCGGTTCTCTGGCACCGCGCGCCAACCCGCAGAGCCCGGGCACACCACGGGGCACACCACGTGACACACCTCCCCTTTCCCGCCACCGCTGCGGCCTGCCAGCACTTCCGTAAACATCGCGGCAGCTGAGTGACAGGGGTTGGCGACCAATCGCAGCGCGCAGGGCGCCGGGGGTGGGGCGGTAGTGTTTCCTCAGCGGCTCCGGCGCCGGGAACGTTTAACGGTAAAAGCAACGGCTGCGGCGCGAGCTGCTGGGGGACGGAGCGGGGGGGTGGTGGTGGTCTGTTTGTATTATGGCCATGGGGTTGGGCGGGTGGAGGGAGC